ACATTTGCGCAAGAGGCTGCGCCAAAGGCGGGAGTTGGGTTCGTTCGACAGGCCGAGTGGGTTGTTAACATGGAAACTCACCTTAAGGCCCAAAAAGCGAGGCTTAAAACAACCAGCCGTAGAAAAAGGGCGAAATGGATATTTCGGACCCCCTTTGGGTTGATATTTTGAAAGGGAAGCCAAACGACACTCGGCAAGCACTCGACACTGGAACACTTTGAGGAGAAACAAACGAGTAAGGGAGGGTTTTGTGGGGGTACGAAGAGACTGGAAATCCAACTGAGGGTTTCGAACGAGGTTGGACATCTGGGCGCCCTTGCTTTTATAAATGGGCACGAGTCAACATAGGGCGCCCCAGAAATGCATGCTTTCCTTTTGGTTTCCCTTCAAACCAAGCCCAAAAACAGTGCACTGAACAACGACAAACACTCTGCTTCCGCTTAGTCGGTCATTTGGATTGGTGGTTTTGGGTGTTTGAACCCCGGACTCTTGAGGCTCAGCGAGAACACCCCGGCACACCGACACCAAAATTCAATCCAGTTAGAGTCCTAGGTCCCCCAGTAGTGCCCTTTTACCAACCTTTCTGGGGGGAGGGAAACCCCCTACTAAAATAGACAGACAAAAGTTGGTACCCTGATTCTAACCTCTCTACTGGAGGACCAGTACAAAAGCGCCCTTGAGGCGTGAAGCTGGGAGCTTCGTGCCTCGTGTTGGCGCTGAACGTCGTGGCCGCGCGCTTCGGCGCCGGGGTTTGCCTCGGCACCTGCTTCGGGGCCTCCGCTCTGGCGCTGGTGGGGTGCTTGAAGGAACTCTTCATGGCCCAGAACCAGAAGGAATGCCCGAAGGAGGAATGCCCGAAGGAGGAATGCCAGAAGGATTTCACGGACCAGAAGGACCAGAAGAAGGACCTTGGAGCTTCAAGCTGCTTTCTCAAGCTGAATTTGTAGCGAGGGCTTCCCCTTCGTTGAAGGGGCTTGTGGAAGAAGCTGCCGCGCCATTTCCTTCAGCTCTCCGTTTGAAACAACCCCTCGTTCAGGATACCCCCAAAGAGACACGAAGCAAAAGGGCCTTTGGGGCCCCACAAACAAATCGATCAATGTGACGCGGAGCCCTGTTCCTTAAGGAATGCATAGTCTCCTGGAAGAAAGGACTCCCTACTGCCTTCACAATAAGAGGTGGGCGGTTTGTTTGGCTTCAGAACCTCTTGGTGTCTGCTCACATTCGCCGGCTTTGGGGTTTGTCTCCATGTAGGTTCTCTCGCAATGACCCAAAACAAAAAGGTTGGTTTCTCTTTGCGCCCCCAAACATTGGCACTCCTCCAAACATATTATAATTTGGATTTTTGACGTATCCCTGAATTGGTGGTTTGGATTTGTGGCTTGGATTTGAACCCCTGCTGCTTGTTGAGAGTAAATCGGAATCCACTCCTGAATCGCGAAATCGCCAATCCAAACCACCACTATGGGGAAGCTGAATGACCACATGTCCTCAATGTACCAACCTCCGGGCCAAGCAGCATGCAGTTTCTCAGGAGGCCACCGGCTTTGGCGCGAAGATTGTGTGGGTGGTCTCGGGGTTCTTGGCCTTGGAGGCAGGCAGAAACCCTCCTGTGGACGTCGCTTCTTTTTTTTGTCATGGCTTCACTGGGGGTTGTTCTTTTTCCACTCGTTTTTATATGGGTATACCCTCCCACAACTAACATGGAAGTGCACAAAGCCATCTGTTCTAAGAGGAAAGTAGTCCTACAGCTGTGTGTGCACTTCCATGTTGATGTGTTTTCCACGGCTGTTTGAGGGTCCTAAGCACACCAGGATCGCCTGGTTCAGAGAGGTTCGCTTCTTTCGTTGTCAGACCGGACTCGGTGTGTGCAACGTGAGCAACTGACGATTTGAGGGCATGGGGGAAACCCTTTTTCCTGCAACCAGGGGCCAACCCCATTTTCCAATGTCCCCTTGGGAACATATCCGTCGGTCAATTCGTTTTGAGGCTACTTCTTTGGGTTTTGAGAGGAAAGAAGGAAGGCACTCATTCTTGGGTCGGATTAGAACATCTTGTTTTGCTGGCGGGACCTGCTGCTGCTCAAACCAGGCCCGAGGCAAACGCGTGCATTTTCCAAGTGTTGGGGTCGCAGTGCTGATGAGGCAGCAAGGCCTGCGGCATGCAACTTTAGCACGGCCAGCATCGTCCGCATCAGCAGCATCACCAGCAGATGCAAAACCAGACCCAACAAGGGCCATCCCTTCTCATCACAGTCTGCCGCCGCATCCCCAGCATGGACAATGTGCTCGCCTTTTGTGTCCGGGCCTTTCGAGTGGAACACCATTGCCTCCACAGCATGCAAGCTGAATAAAGTCCATGTCCGCAAAGCGATGTTTCACCCCCAACCGGTCTCCAGTACTTGGACCAGGCAGCGGGCCTCCTGTCGATGCAGTCGGGGCTGATTTTCTTCGCCTGGGTACTGAGCTTGGTGGCAGGGAGCGCGGCCGTGTTGATGTGCCAT